TTAATTTAATGTAGGTACTTATGTGAAATATTGTGTGAATATTGACTCCTCATCGTTGTAATAATTCTTTACACGACTCTAGAATCAAATCCTCTTCTGCTTAGGCATTTATGAACAAAATGACGAGATATTATTTAGTGTAAACTTAGCTAAATATCTAAAACTACACCTTCTTTAACATAGATACCCAACAAAATACTTTCTCAGGGCTCTCGTCTCGATTCTCACTACGTATAAATATTTACATGTCCAACAGAGCGCTGTACATTCAAACCTGAGTGCAATGTTTGCCTTCAAACAAACGTTGCTAGCGATCTCATGGTACATTGCAGAATGCTTTTTTATGATACTGTGTGAATGTATCGGCTATGATACTATATGATACGGACTATTGAGCATAGCCCTAGCCTTATACATATATATATAATAGCCCTAGACCCTAGGCCCTAGGGTCTAGGTTTGATGCTAGGGTTCCTTGTATAGTAGTAGTTTTAGTTTTAGGTGTAGTTTTTAAACCGTGTAATTTCTCGGGGGCATGTCACAGAAGGCATAAAGGTTCAATGTAAGTAAAAGTTTCGGGCCAGTAGTTAAAAATACGGCTATAATAAATCGTTTAAGTTCGACAATGTTTCAGAATAAGCGACAGCAATTGTTCTTATTGGAGTTTTATGGAATTAGTTAGTTAGTTAGAATAATATTAATTACGTGTTTGAGTTTGTGTATGTTAAGCCGCGTTATAAAACTAGTTACAAGACGGCGGCGTGTAGTTCGCACTTACGGATTTCCATAATTTTCAGAAAAATTAAAAATATGTACCTACAATTATTTTTATTGATTCGGACTCAGAATCGGTAGCCGAATTACCTCCTAGAAAATGACGCGGCTTTAAAACAACATCTTGTATACACATTTATACTTGGTACATACTATTGGTAACAACGAAGTGTTCTGGACTACATGTAAGAAACTATTTCAGTGTGCCATTGTTTCTGGGTAGGACGACTCGAATATATTAGATACATCATAACATCACGCCTTTTTACCCCCGAAGGGGTAAGCAGAGGCGCACATTATGGCACTTAATGCCACTGTACAATGTAACACCCGCTTTTCAATATTTATGTTATGAGTCCCGTGTTATAGGGGGTGAGCCTATTGCCATATATCGGGCACAATTCCAGACTCCGTGCTACCACTGATAACTATTTTAAAAACCCAGTAATCGTTTGTCCGACCCGGGAATCAAACCCGAGACTCCTTGCCCGGCAATTACACTTGCGACCACTCGGCCTACGAGTCAGTAATTTTTTGTATCAAATACAATCTAATCAATCAATAAATCTCAGTAGGAACACATCTATGAAGCTGTCACATAATTCCAAGCTGTAAATATAAGAGAGAATCGCAGTCTAGTTGCGACGCTGAGCACGAAGTGTGTCTTGGCAGTAGTTCGGCTACCTGTCAAGTCATACGGTGCAGATATTTTAAGAAAATATATTGCTTATTGATTTGAGGTATTCGGCTAATATTTTATCAGTAGCTATTGCCTGCAATTTTGTCTGCGTAGAATATGAGGGACATAACTCTTTTTCGTTTCAATTTTCCAAATTAGAAGTAGCATATATTAATTTTGATAATTACCACTAACATTTTTGCAGCTGACCACCTACCACATACATTTCTGCACTACCCAAAGGATGACTGGCAGAGAATGCTGTTAGCATTAAGTCCTCCTTATGCAATTGTATTGTATAAAACTTAAATAAATAAATAAAATATGTTACTCGTTAGTACAGGAGATACCTGCCTGTAAAAGTTCCTTTAAAATTGGTCCAGCCATTTCAGAGTATAGCCAATGCAGACAGGTAGACAACTATTTAAAAAAATGTTATATGTATGTAGTAAAAAGTGGTTATTTCAATATTACAAACAGACATTCTAATTGTATTTATCTGTATAGATATGTTCGTCCACGATATGCTCGTTTGATTAAGGAAAGAAGTACGTCAGCTTGGGACTGACATTAATAATCGTTGTCAATCAAAAATTATTTTCTGTCAAAATCTCTCTTGCTTTTACACAGGTTTCGGTTTCATCATCATTATCATCAACAGCCTATAAAATACCCACTACTGAGCAAAGCGTCTTTTCACACGGTGAAGGTTTGAGCATTAATCACCACGCTTGCTCAATGCTGGTTGGCGATTTCTAACTTATAATCTGAAATTATAAGCCCACGTTTCCTCACGATGTTTTCCTTCACCGTTTGTCAGTGGTGTCTAGATAATCTTAGAAAGTACATATAACTCGGAAAAAGTCACATTGGTACTTGTCGTTGGTAGGGTTCCAACCCGCGCCCTCACACATGAAAAGCGGGCGTCTTACCTCCGGGCCACCACGACATATATTTGGAGAAGACATAGGATTTGGATTAAGATATTAACTAGGTAAGTTAATATTTTAGGTCGTAATAGGGTAGATGACTACATTTACTTTTCATTTTGATGTCCGTTTGGTAGATTATTTAAAAACATAATTAGACACGTATTTTTTATTTTCTTACGGAAACGAATAGTTCGAAATTATATTGATTTGGAATATCGCATGACGTCACTTTTGAGTAAGATTTATACTCTAAAATCACGTAGCTGTGGGAACTCCTAAACTTTGATTCGTTTTATCTAAGTATCTATTCTTATATGACAAAACATTTCATTACCTAACTGACGGACTAACTAAATTTTTAATTTTCATACCCTGTCATCATCCCTATTACTCTAGTACCTAACTACCTACCTAAGAACCCAAAAACTAATTGTAAAATGCTTCTTCGCATTACAAACGAAAGACAAACAAATGCATTTTCGTTGTTATAACAGTGACGTTTCTATAACATAACATAACTTCACTCCCTTTATCCCCGAAGGGGTAGGCAGTTGTACATTACGGCACTTAATGCCACTTCACAATGTAACACCCACTTTTCACTATTTATGTTATGAGTTCCATGTAATAGGGGGTGAGCCAACTCCAGACTCCATACTATGTACTACTGAGAATTTTAAAACTCAGTAGTACTTTGCCCGACCCGGGAATCGAACCCGAGACGCCTTGCCCAGCAGTCGCTCTTGCAACCATTCGGACGACGAGACATACACACATATTAATAAATTCCATACTTACAGGTCAAAATGACAAACTCCTTTATTTTTCGAAGTCGGTTAAAAACATTTCCGTCTACGGAAAATTGAAGAGCATTCGATTGAAAGTTTTCCCTTTCGTAAAGATAACGAAATAGAATAGTGTACTCGTACGAAATGGCAAAAGAGATCAGTCAATTCACCCTGCTATTCACAAAGTACTTCCTTTTGACATCGACAAACTGAATTAGATTCCCCAGAGGGAAATAAAAACACACACTACATAGGCCAAGTTTTCTTTTATTTAGAAAAGTAGTTTGTACAATTTTACTAATTTACAACAAGTCGCAACTCTTAACTCATCCCTTTTTCTAACTAGGTTTTTTCTTTTTTCACTCCATAAAACACAATCTCCATACTATCCGCTAAATTAGTTCATATTTTACTCAAAAGCCTTACATTTCTTTTTATATTATGTAGTACAATTTTCTTAACAATTTTCACTCACATAGTTATATAGCGATTAATATTTACAAAAAACACTTTAATCTATGTATCACAGAAAAAATAATTATTTATCTAGCATAATAATAGTTTTATTACAAGAGGAATAATCGACTTAAACCACCCTACACTCAGACGTTTTTGCATTTTTCGAAAGTTTAAAATCGCGAGTGTGTAAGCAGCTTTATATTTAGGTAATAAAAAAGTACACGATAATTTTCGTGTCCTTTTTAAAATAAAAGTTTAAAATTATTACAAGAAACTAAAATAAAAATACATTTTTTAAATTAAAAATACAAAAAATATCGGGGTGAAATTTAACATTACAAGACGGTTGACATGATTTCTAAGGCGATTGTGTCGATATATCACTAGGCTATTTTTAAGCAATTTTCTTAAATCGATAAACAGAATATTTTAACAACATTTTAAATTCAGACAATTTTAAAACTAAAATATTGATTTAAAAGTTTTAAACAAATGATTACAAATTTTAATTAAAATAACAATTCTATTAGGCAATTAAATGTATTTTCGTATATTTTTTTTAATAATGATAAATGCAATGTAAAATTTCTAAAATACGTTGAGATAAAAAATATTTTTTGAAGAGTAGAAATAGATAAATTAGGCGTGTGGTGTAGGTTAGTCTAATCAGTCTTGAATTGAAAAATTTAAATGAAATTTTAACTTTTCCTATAGATTATTGAGCATATTGTGATAAGCCGTAATTATTTAATTTGATAATTGATTTTAATATTACTATTAATTTTTATTTGGGCAAAATAAATTATTTAAAAAAATGCCCAGTAATAATATAAAATATAAATTGACATTGCACTACAGAAAATTATGGAAGAACTGTGCATTATTGCAAAAATAAAAAAATATGTCAGATATGTTTGGAATACTAAATGAATGGCACATATTAGACAAATTAAAGCTTATTCCATAATTATAAGATTTATGTCTAAATAACGAACTACGTCACAGAAAGTGATAAAATGTTTATTTATTTTGATATGTAAGTTTCTGAAACATAAATAGTGTAAAGTAAAATAATAATTATAGAATAGGTACTATTTTTTCAACATTTACACTACATTTTATTATATAAACGTGAAAAAGAGAACATAAAAATAAAATAAAAACTATTTACTACGCATGTATTACTTACTAAAAGTTCCTTTTTTATATAAAATTGACTTTGATTTTATCTACAAGAAAAAATAAAATTTTATGAATCTAGAAGGCGATGATTTAATGAAAATGTAACAGATGTTTTCTTTAAGAGAGATGCATTTATTTTAACTAAAAAAAGAAATAGTTAAAATTATTTAAAATAAAACACATAACTGTTTCGAAATTTAAAATTTTATGATTTTTTTTTTAAATAGAAGTTAATACACAATGAAGTAGTTACAACTATTTAATATAAATGTTTCGAGAATCAAAATTCAATGAAATATTTTTTTTAATAAATGTTAATTTACATTCTCTCAAAAAATGCAACCGTTACATTTTGAAATACATTTAATTTAATATTATTATACACACTTTAATACAATAGTAACAAGACCAGTCTCAGTCGGGTTATACGAAATTGACGAAAATTTACATGTTTTTTTTTTTCTTTTCAACAACTTACAAACAATTGACTAAAATGTTTGAACGATGAAGGACGATCATTTTTATTTAATACAGTATAATTTTTGTTAACAGACAGCTGATATTAAAGGGCTAGAAAAGAGGTTTTTTTTTATTTTGGAGAAAAATAGTAGGTACACAATAAAGTTTTTATTTGTTTTAAATCAAAATGATGTCACCTCACCATAATATATTTTTTCCAGTTTAATAAAATACCTACCAAGGTAAAATACACGTAATAGGTATAATTAACATCTTGAAATGTCCAAACCGATCAATCTTTGCCTAATTCGGTTATGACAAGGATTTCTTTGTGATAATCTAGATTTACGATCTAAAACCTAGATTTGAACACTAATATGCTAGCTAAACGACGTCAAGGACAGTAAAGGCTCACAATTTCAATTCAAATATTTTTTGTAATAATTTTTAGTATACAATTTTAAATTAACACCACAAAAAATATTTGAATTAAAATTTTGTAATATGTTACAAAAGTTTAATTGATTACATTTCGTTAATTTGACCGCAGAAGTAACATGAGAAAATATTCCTAAATTAATGATTTTTAAATTAAAATAACTAAGTTTATAGTACACACAAAGTCATTGCGTAGTAAATTCATCAAAAGTCTTTTTTTATAGAAAAATTGTTAAACTTAACTTATACGTGGGTTGCTAATGGGGGTTGATGCCCGTTACCTGGAAATAACAAAAATAATTGTCAATATTTTTATGATACTAAGAATATAGCTATTTTAAGCAATAGCTATTGTAAGTACAATACATTTATAATAATAATTTTAAACTTAAAACTAAACTTATAAGTTATACAAGATTATATAAGTAGAAACTTATAAGTTTGCCTGAACGAGAATATGCGATCTATCGCGATGTTCCAAAATGCATGATTTACTACCCGTTTTCAGCGCAGTTTGAATTATTTACCGGTTCGACAACATTTGAAATATATCCTATTCTATTTCCGCAATATCGGCATCGTAATACCAAACTCATTCCAATAGATGAAACTGTACATATAAAATGAACTGAAATGAATAAAAATATGTAGATATATTTTTGTTGTAGAAGATAAGTTAATTTTATTTTTAATATGTAATTATAGTTCCTAACTTAATGTGATAATTTCAATTCTCCTCAATTTCAATAATGTTGCTACTTTAAATTATTTGTAATGGTTATAATTAAAATGTCTAATAAATAATGTATAAAATAATATAATTGTATCATATAGGTCTATAAGTGATAAGAAATTTTAATAGTAATAAGTTTATAGTAAATAATTAAGTTAATAATGAATAGAATAAGTACATAATATATTAGATGATTATTTAGTTATTATTTTGTAGTGGGTAATTGCACATTAGCCACTAACCGAGTTTAGGAATCTAATCCTTATCGCTAAGCTATTAAGGTCCACTATAGCTTGGCTGCGTAGCGGGATAGCAGGAAGAATGAAGAACGAAACTCGAAGAAATGAATAGTATTATTAGATAGAAGATAGAATATTATATTATAAGATTATAAACAAGCAAGCAAGCAACGTCTAAGCGCGTGTACACTAGTTTCCGTCGCCGATGTGAAACTGATGAAGTACCTCCGCTTACTGCGCGCACGCAAGTAATTGAAACATCGTATGATTTTAGCCCGCGGCCCCAAGCTCATAAGCGGCCGCGATTTTGCGCGCATTATAAGGCGGTGGTCCAAGTTGTAACTCGCTACATGTTCCCCCTGGCCAGACCGTTACTACGGTCGATAAAAATCGGGGAACTTCACTCGCCGTCCACTTCTTGTCCTTTTTTCTTCGTTTGCAGGGTCAGCAGCAGTGGTAAATGATTGCTCCGGAACTTCTTGTAATATGTAGGCCGGTTTTAGACGATCAACCGAAACATTGTTTGGCTTTCCTTGTAATTCGATTGTGAAGTATTTTCCGTGCCTCTGTAGAACCTTGTAGGGTCCCGCATATGGTGGTTCCAGTGACCGACGTACGTGGTCTCGTCGGAGGAAGACGTGAGTGGAAGAGTGAAGGTCGCGTGGCACGTAGAAGGGAGATGAACTATGCCAGGTAGTAGTCTTAGGCGTGAGGTTGGCCATGTGACGTCGTAGGCGGTGTGCGTAATCTGTGATGTCAGCTGTAGTGAAGTTCGTCTTCGAAGATATGAACTGGCCAGGAAGCTGTAGCGCCTCCCCGTAGACAAGTTCAGCCGGCGTAGCCTGGATGTCTTCTTTCCAAGAGTTACGCATGCCGAGAAGTACTAGTGGAAGAGCTTCAGTCCACTGCGAAGACGTGTGGCACATGATGGCAGCCTTCAGCTGTCGATGCAGTCGTTCCACCATGCCATTTGCTGCTGGATGGTAGGCTGTCGTGCGTAGGTGCTCTGTCCCCAACAAGACAGTGAGAGCTTTAAAAAGGTGGCTCTCGAATTGGCGGCCACGGTCGGTGGTCACCCGTGCTGGACAACCGAAGCGGGCCACCCAGTGTGTCACCAGAGTAGATGCGCAGGTTTCCGCCGTGATGTCTCTGATGGGGTACGCCTCAGGCCATCGAGTAAATCTGTCAATGACGGTGAGGCAGTATCTGTAATCAGATGAAGGGGTTAAAGGCCCTACAATGTCAAGATGAATGTGTGAGAAACGAGAGGATGGAGTAAGGTAAGAGGACAGGGGAGATTTGGTGTGACGTGTGACTTTACAAGTCTGGCATTGCATACATTGCCTCGTCCACTCTCTACAGTCTCTGCGAATCCCTGGCCATACATAGCGTTGTGTCACCAGTCGCACTGTAGCAGATTTCCCAGGGTGGTGCAAATTATGTAACGAGTTGAAGACATCTCTCCGCAGTGTTGGCGTTACATACGGGCGGGGTACTTGTGTCGATGTGTCGCAATAAACTGGTATGTTCCCATTGGCAGTAGATGCCACCTTCTTTAGTTTAAGTGCTGAACCATGAAGGAGAAGTTCTTGCAATTCTGGATCATTTTCCTGAAGTCGTGCAAGGGCTTCAAAGTTAATGGCAGTGGATACTTCTTCGATACGCGATAATGCATCAGCAACAACGTTCTCGCTACCTGGTAGGTATCTTATGTCGGTTGTAAATTGGCCTATATAGTCCAGGTATCGGAACTGTCTCGGAGGAAGGCTCTCTCTGTTGGATTTGAAGGCGTAGATAAGGGGCTTGTGATCCGTGAATACTGTGAAGTTTCTAGTTTCCACCATATGGCGAAAATACTTAATAGCTTCATACACTGCCAGCAGCTCTCTGTCGTAAGGGCTGTACTTCCTTTGAGCATTGTTTAGTTTGTGAGAGAAAAAAGCTAATGGTTGCCAGTCATTACCATTGCGCTGCTGGAGAACAGCTCCGATAGCTATATTTGATGCATCGGTGAAAATTGCCAACTTTGCAGATGGGTGTGGATGTGCCAGGAGTGTTGCTTGAGACAGTGAGGATTTGCAGTCTTCGAAAGCCGTCAGCATCTCTGGCGTCATTTGAACTGGATGCGAACCTTTAATCTTAGGGCCAGCAAGGGCTGTGTTTAACGGTGCCTGTAGTTGAGCTGCCTTTGGAACAAATCGGCGATAAAAATTCAACATACCCAGGAATCGACGCAGCTCCTTCACAGTTTTAGGTTTTGGGTACTCTTGGATAGCTTGCACCTTGGACTGACTTGGTTTTATACCTTCAGCAGACACACTGTATCCTAGGAAGGTTACCTGTTGCAGCCCGATGTTGCACTTAGCTGAATTGACGACAACACCATATTGTCTCAGGCGCTCGAACAACAATCGTAAGTGTTTCTTGTGCTCTTCTGGAGTTGTTGAAAATACCAGGATGTCGTCGACGTATCCGTAGCAAAAATCCATACCCAGCAGTACTTCGTCGATAAACCTTTGAAAGGTTTGAGCCGCGTTTCTCAGACCAAAAGTCATGAAAGGGAATTCATACAGGCCGAAAGGTGTAGTTATCGCGGTTTTCGGTATATCCTCAGGGTTGATAGCTATCTGGTTGTATGCCTTTACCAGGTCTATAGTTGAAAAAATAGTGCAGCCTGCTAGCTGGTGAGAAAAATCTTGAATGTGGCGGATAGGGTACCTGTCGGGTATTGTTCTCGCGTTAAGTGCTCTATAGTCTCCACATGGTCTCCATCCGTCATCTTTTTTTCTCACCAGGTGTAGTGGCGCTGACCAAGGACTCTCCGAGCGCCGTGCCACTCCACTTGCAAGCATCTGTTCGAACTCCTTCTTGGCAGCCTGCAATCGAGAAGGGTCTAGACGTCTTGGCTTGCACGCCACTGGTGGGCCTGGTGTTGTCCTGATGAAGTGCAAGGTACTATGTTTTCCAGGTTCCTGTTTCCCTGGAGGTCGTGTTATCTCCGGATATTCACGTAAGATTTGGTGGTAGTCAGAGTCGCCTACCACTGCCTTCAGCGAAACAATATCTACAGAATTGCAGTATGTTGCAGGTACAGATAATGATGTGAGATTGTCGATCAGTCTTTGATTCCTACAATCTACCAGCAGATTGTAGAAACTTAGAAAGTCTACCCCAATTATCGCTTTAGAAACGTCCGCTATGGTGAAGATCCAACTGTAATTCCTTCTAAGTCCTAAATTTAACTGAAGTTGTAATGGGCCGTAAGTGTGTATTACTGTGTTGTTTGCAGCTACAAGATCGTATTTTGATTGTTTATAGTGCTTCTTGAGAGCGGACCGGGGAAACACGCACAAGTCTGAGCCGGTGTCTACTAAGAATTGCATTTTTGAGGCCCGGTCAGTAATAAATAGACGGCCTGAAGAGATGGGGCAGTCGTTGGCCGCTACATGCGACCGCCCTTCTTGTTTTCCGCTGAGAATGAGCATGGCTGTTTACATTTTTGAGCTTTGTCGCCGTAGGTGAAATGATAAAAACAGTGTGGGTGGTTTTGTGGTGGTTGTTGTGGTCTGTGCTTTGAGCGTTCATACCTGCGGTAGTCGCAACGAGACCGTGATCGTGAGCGTGAGCGTTGTCTCTCTCTGTTACCCCAGCGTGACGTGAGCAAGGCTACCTGCTTAGTGAGCTCGCTCACTTGCTTTGCCAAGTCCGACGAATCAGTAGTCGTGGAGGCGGAAGTGCAAGCGATTTGTGGCGTCATAGGTGCGATCTCCGCTACTCTGTCCGCTATTTCTGCTAATTGCTCCACCTGTAATTCGGTAATTTGAGAGGCGATTACAGTTTGTACATTTTGAGGTAACCGGGCTGTCCAGATACTTTTTACAAATTCTGCAGCGCCTGAAGGCCCTGCTAGTTTTTGTAGGTGCCTTAGAAATTGTGAAGGTTTGCGGTCACCTAATTCTTCATGTATAAGTAGCTGCTGAATACGCTTTTCTTGAGAAGCCGACAAGCGTTTTACTAGCTCTGTTTTCAACTTGTTAAACTTGTTTTCCTCTGGGGGATTAGTAATGATGTCACTGACATGTATGGCGTATTTTGTTTCGAGCTGAGTGGATGCGTAATAAAATTTCGTGGAGTCACTTGTGATTCTCGATAGAATAAATTGTCCCTCTAATTGTGCAAACCACAAAGCTGGCTCGTCCGGACAAAATGGAGGGCAGCGCAAAGGCATTCCAACTGCCGCTGTATGCCCCGAGATGACGGGAACATCCTTGCAATCTGCGTAAGCATCCGACTCAGCCATATTTAATTAAATTGAAAACGCTCACCGCTAGTCCAGTACCAACCACTCCACACTCTTGCTGTCTGGATCCTGGTCTTCGATCCTTTGTCCAAAACGTCGAGGGTCACCAATGTAGTGGGTAATTGCACATTAGCCACTAACCGAGTTTAGGAATCTAATCCTTATCGCTAAGCTATTAAGGTCCACTATAGCTTGGCTGCGTAGCGGGATAGCAGGAAGAATGAAGAACGAAACTCGAAGAAATGAATAGTATTATTAGATAGAAGATAGAATATTATATTATAAGATTATAAACAAGCAAGCAAGCAACGTCTAAGCGCGTGTACACTAGTTTCCGTCGCCGATGTGAAACTGATGAAGTACCTCCGCTTACTGCGCGCACGCAAGTAATTGAAACATCGTATGATTTTAGCCCGCGGCCCCAAGCTCATAAGCGGCCGCGATTTTGCGCGCATTATAAGGCGGTGGTCCAAGTTGTAACTCGCTACATGTTCCCCCTGGCCAGACCGTTACTACGGTCGATAAAAATCGGGGAACTTCACTCGCCGTCCACTTCTTGTCCTTTTTTCTTCGTTTGCAGGGTCAGCAGCAGTGGTAAATGATTGCTCCGGAACTTCTTGTAATATGTAGGCCGGTTTTAGACGATCAACCGAAACATTGTTTGGCTTTCCTTGTAATTCGATTGTGAAGTATTTTCCGTGCCTCTGTAGAACCTTGTAGGGTCCCGCATATGGTGGTTCCAGTGACCGACGTACGTGGTCTCGTCGGAGGAAGACGTGAGTGGAAGAGTGAAGGTCGCGTGGCACGTAGAAGGGAGATGAACTATGCCAGGTAGTAGTCTTAGGCGTGAGGTTGGCCATGTGACGTCGTAGGCGGTGTGCGTAATCTGTGATGTCAGCTGTAGTGAAGTTCGTCTTCGAAGATATGAACTGGCCAGGAAGCTGTAGCGCCTCCCCGTAGACAAGTTCAGCCGGCGTAGCCTGGATGTCTTCTTTCCAAGAGTTACGCATGCCGAGAAGTACTAGTGGAAGAGCTTCAGTCCACTGCGAAGACGTGTGGCACATGATGGCAGCCTTCAGCTGTCGATGCAGTCGTTCCACCATGCCATTTGCTGCTGGATGGTAGGCTGTCGTGCGTAGGTGCTCTGTCCCCAACAAGACAGTGAGAGCTTTAAAAAGGTGGCTCTCGAATTGGCGGCCACGGTCGGTGGTCACCCGTGCTGGACAACCGAAGCGGGCCACCCAGTGTGTCACCAGAGTAGATGCGCAGGTTTCCGCCGTGATGTCTCTGATGGGGTACGCCTCAGGCCATCGAGTAAATCTGTCAATGACGGTGAGGCAGTATCTGTAATCAGATGAAGGGGTTAAAGGCCCTACAATGTCAAGATGAATGTGTGAGAAACGAGAGGATGGAGTAAGGTAAGAGGACAGGGGAGATTTGGTGTGACGTGTGACTTTACAAGTCTGGCATTGCATACATTGCCTCGTCCACTCTCTACAGTCTCTGCGAATCCCTGGCCATACATAGCGTTGTGTCACCAGTCGCACTGTAGCAGATTTCCCAGGGTGGTGCAAATTATGTAACGAGTTGAAGACATCTCTCCGCAGTGTTGGCGTTACATACGGGCGGGGTACTTGTGTCGATGTGTCGCAATAAACTGGTATGTTCCCATTGGCAGTAGATGCCACCTTCTTTAGTTTAAGTGCTGAACCATGAAGGAGAAGTTCTTGCAATTCTGGATCATTTTCCTGAAGTCGTGCAAGGGCTTCAAAGTTAATGGCAGTGGATACTTCTTCGATACGCGATAATGCATCAGCAACAACGTTCTCGCTACCTGGTAGGTATCTTATGTCGGTTGTAAATTGGCCTATATAGTCCAGGTATCGGAACTGTCTCGGAGGAAGGCTCTCTCTGTTGGATTTGAAGGCGTAGATAAGGGGCTTGTGATCCGTGAATACTGCGAAGTTTCTAGTTTCCACCATATGGCGAAAATACTTAATAGCTTCGTACACTGCCAGCAGCTCTCTGTCGTAAGGGCTGTACTTCCTTTGAGCATTGTTTAGTTTGTGAGAGAAAAAAGCTAATGGTTGCCAGTCATTACCATTGCGCTGCTGGAGAACAGCTCCGATAGCTATATTTGATGCATCGGTGAAAATTGCCAACTTTGCAGATGGGTGTGGATGTGCCAGGAGTGTTGCTTGAGACAGTGAGGATTTGCAGTCTTCGAAAGCCGTCAGCATCTCTGGCGTCATTTGAACTGGATGCGAACCTTTAATCTTAGGGCCAGCAAGGGCTGTGTTTAACGGTGCCTGTAGTTGAGCTGCCTTTGGAACAAATCGGCGATAAAAATTCAACATACCCAGGAATCGACGCAGCTCCTTCACAGTTTTAGGTTTTGGGTACTCTTGGATAGCTTGCACCTTGGACTGACTTGGTTTTATACCTTCAGCAGACACACTGTATCCTAGGAAGGTTACCTGTTGCAGCCCGATGTTGCACTTAGCTGAATTGACGACAACACCATATTGTCTCAGGCGCTCGAACAACAATCGTAAGTGTTTCTTGTGCTCTTCTGGAGTTGTTGAAAATACCAGGATGTCGTCGACGTATCCGTAGCAAAAATCCATACCCAGCAGTACTTCGTCGATAAACCTTTGAAAGGTTTGAGCCGCGTTTCTCAGACCAAAAGTCATGAAAGGGAATTCATACAGGCCGAAAGGTGTAGTTATCGCGGTTTTCGGTATATCCTCAGGGTTGATAGCTATCTGGTTGTATGCCTTTACCAGGTCTATAGTTGAAAAAATAGTGCAGCCTGCTAGCTGGTGAGAAAAATCTTGAATGTGGCGGATAGGGTACCTGTCGGGTATTGTTCTCGCGTTAAGTGCTCTATAGTCTCCACATGGTCTCCATCCGTCATCTTTTTTTCTCACCAGGTGTAGTGGCGCTGACCAAGGACTCTCCGAGCGCCGTGCCACTCCACTTGCAAGCATCTGTTCGAACTCCTTCTTGGCAGCCTGCAATCTAGAAGGGTCTAGACGTCTTGGCTTGCACGCCACTGGTGGGCCTGGTGTTGTCCTGATGAAGTGCAAGGTACTATGTTTTCCAGGTTCCTGTTTTCCTGGAGGTCGTGTTATCTCCGGATATTCACGTAAGATTTGGTGGTAGTCAGAGTCGCCTACCACTGCCTTCAGCGAAACAATATCTACAGAATTGCAGTACAGAAGAAATGAATAGTATTATTAGATAGAAGATAGAATATTATATTATAAGATTATAAACAAGCAAGCAAGCAACGTCTAAGCGCGTGTACACTAGTTTCCGTCGCCGATGTGAAACTGATGAAGTACCTCCGCTTACTGCGCGCACGCAAGTAATTGAAACATCGTATGATTTTAGCCCGCGGCCCCAAGCTCATAAGCGGCCGCGCTTTTTGCGCGCATTATAAGGCGGTGGTCCAAGTTGTAACTCGCTACAATTTATAAGTTAAATTGCTGCGCCCTAACAGGGTGATGTACTGTACTAGTAGTATACATAATACCACTATGTATATACATTTTGCAATAAAATAAATAAAAAAATAAGTTTTACAATATTATGCATGTAGACTTGATATTTAAATATTTTTAATTTTGTTACAATTTTTGTGCATTGTTAATAGTTCAAAGTCAATGTCAATGCATTTATTTCAATTAAACCATAATTTGGTACTTTTGAAACGTCAACAAATACAAAATAAATAATAGTCTGTCAGTCAGTCCGTCAATGAAGCTAGGTGAAGCTAGGTGCTCATTCCAAAATGTAGAATCGAATGGAGAAGAACGAGTAAGAAACTCCATTCGTTACTCTTTTTTAAAAAAAGAATGTTCTACATATTTAGTTTTATTTAATTTTTTTGTTACTTTTTAAGTTTTAGTTGTAAGTAGGTATCTATCATGTTACATATTATAAAATTTACAATACAACAGGGAAAAATGTAATGTGACTGGCGAAAAGTGTCGTGTAAATAAAAATGGAGTAATCACTAACCGCAAAATATATATTTTTTTTAAACAATGAAATAGGACCTAAATATCGCTGATATACACCGTATGTGTATGAAATACTCTAAAAACATAATAAAACAATGTATTAATATAATCTAGACTAAAATTCTTACCTTTTTTGGTAACAGTCGCATTACTTATCGTCCTATTTGATGGTGCTAATATGTAATGCGCACTGGGTGACTGTGGTGTCGCCGAAGAGGTGGCTACCCCAACCTAAGACAAAAAATACAATTTTAATTAAAATTATTACAAGTCGTTGAAGATTGGCTGGTTTACATATAGAACAAGGATGAAATGCATGATCTGACACTCGCACCTTAGATGTACACACTCGAAAATTTTTATATAAATTCCCAAACACCACTTTCTTTTACTGAGTATATTTTTGTTTTACACTTTTTAAAAGTAATTGTAAATTCGATTATATCTTTTTAAAAATCTTCTTCCACAAAATCTCAATTTAATGTATTTTTTTACGTTAAACTATTTTTGATTGTTAATTTTGGTTATTTACTATTTATTTTTAACTTACCGCTGGTTGCGTGCTATCGGTGGACATGGTTGAAGTGGTAATGGGGCTGGTTGCACATTGTGGTGACGCCAGACTAGTTGGTGACGTTATCGAATGTGACGAGTTACCTGTTGGAAAAAAAAATGTTGAACTTTATTTCCAGACGATAGTTTATGATATGATATTCTCTAATTCTCGAATCTTTCATCTACAGATCTAATAATCGTGTATATATTACACATATTACACCTCATATTACACATTATTAGATCTGTATATATACACAGATATACTTATTTTTATCAGTATAATAAGAAAAACAAATAAAAACGCCGTGTACCTACTATTTTTTTGAACTGATACTATGACAAATTCAAAAGTTAAGACTAACTCACACTCGAACACGACAGTTGTACAAATGAATATCAATGTTTTTTATTTGCCCATACATAACATCACGCCTTTTATCCAAGAAGAGGTAGGCAGAGGTGTGCATTATACCACTGTACAATGTAACACCCACTTTTCACTATTTATGTTATGAGTCCCATGTAACAGGGGGTGAGTCCATTACCATATACCGGGCACAATTCCAGACTCACTAGACAATTTTTAAAAAACCCCAGTAGGTAATACTTTGCCCGACCCGGGAATCGAACCCGTGACCCTTTGCCCGGCAGTCGCACTTACGACCACTCGGCCAACGAGGCAGTCAAAGTAAGTTTTTTTTTATTTGTAACAAAATAAATAATTGTATACACTTGAAAAACATGTATACATTTTGGGAAGTGTAATATATCAAAAACAACATTTATAAACAAATATTATCGCATCAGATTTATTTCCTATAAAAATATTGTATTTTATTTGTAAAATCATTTTCCTGGTTCTATGAATTTCTCCTTTACACGGAATGAATTTACAAACACAAATATTTGCAAAACCAATATGGCGGACGGCTGGTGAGATTGATTTTTATTCCGTCCGGGAATTGGAGTTGCAGAAAATTAATACCACTGCCTTCAGAGCTCAAAAATAATTAAAAAAAATACTTCTGCAATTATTTTTTAAATAAAACATTGTGCTGGTTTAATTGTGAACATAATTACATTGTTGTTAAGGTCCATTGTTGTACAATCACAAATTGAAAATTTCCCAGTTCAGAGAATTTCTAAATATACATTTCTTTCTTATTTCCTTAGTAACGAGACAGAACAATAGGAATGTAGACGTACGAAAATAGATATTATGTTTAGACTGGCACTTTCGTAATGTAGAAACTCAAACACACATAATTATCTTGTTTTTAAAGACATTAAAAGGTGAAAACAGAGGCCCGACGCCTAAGTTATTATTTATATTAGTTATTACTATTATTATAAGTTATTATTGATATTAGTTTTAATTATTTATATTATTATTCTGGCTTATAATCGTGAAGAATAGCTTGAATTAATTTTAAACAATAAACAGATAAACTTTAGGACGCTACCTGTAAGTAGCTAACAAACCGATTCATAGTCGTTAAACTCTAAATGTTTTTACATATACAGAAATAGCTTTTACCCGCGGCTTCGCTCGCGTCACAAAAGGATAAAATGTAGCCTATGTGACATATACCAATACACACAGCGCCATCTGTATCAATAATTTTCCCTCGAGAATATCAATTTTTCCGGGATAAAAAGTACCCTATTATTTAATCCAGACTTCTAACTTTATGTCTGCAAAAATTCAAAGCAATCGGTTTAGTAGTTACGGCGTGAAAGCGGAACAAACAAACAAACTCATTTTCCGATTTATAATATTAGTAAGGATAACAAGGTCAGAGGGCTTACTTGAACCTAATTTCAATCTATCGACATTGATATTGTGAAATTTGGTACTCTAAGTTTCAACACTAGCGCTCATGGTATCCGTATTGCGTGGGTACTTAATAAACAAAATGGTTTTGAGTTTGGTTTTATATTCTGTACGCTGAATGCTATTTTAATAGCTAAAATAGGGGTTGTATAGCTATGAAATTGAATAATTATTGAGTTTTCATTGGATTGCAATTGCATTGACATATTTGACATTGAGATTGGTTTCAAGTGTAAGCACCCTGTCTTCGAACAAACTATCTTGTCAATAACAGTTCATGTTACACTGGTTAACCAGTTATTCTCTTATAACTCACCTGAAGGTAAAACCACAGAACTCCTAACTGAGGAGTACGGTGGTGGCGCAGGAGTAGACGCTGGTTTAGCGGTGTTCACCGTGGTAGCGAACCCTAGACCACCCCCTGTCCGTAAATGGGGGTTGCCATAGGTGGCCGCGTACCGAACATCGACACCATGGATGATACCACCGTTTGGTACTCGATTCGCTAAAAAAAAGTGATAGTTAGAAATACGGGCCAATTGATAAATTCAAAATTTAAAGGTACTGGGTTATACATATATGTAGGTATCGAATCCCTTGTAAATTATAAAAAACTAACTCTATGGATGAAATGTATTATACAATGAATAAATTTTGTCTGTAGTAAAAACATGAAATGCGTATATCATGAATACCACGAGATCAAGGTTTACGAATAAGAATTCCCATTTGAAAGGTAACCAAATAAGAATTCACATTTGAAAATATATACCCAATTCTAAAACTGACAATTTGTGTACCTATTACCCACTCACAAATTACAAAAAAGAAACCCCTATAAGATACATGAATTACATTTCAGCTCACCATTCAAAATCCTATCATTGAAGAAATCTGAACAACATAAAGGTGCTCCCTCACCGAGAGCATTCGCGTGTAATGTAACGTTACATATCTGAGCATTACATCAGTGAAAGAGGAGAACCGAGCATTACAATGCGCACCTTGTAATGATACAATATGTAATATCATGATACAACTTGTAACATAGATACGCTCCACTTCCCTCAGCCCCCCGTCCGCCCGCTACATCTAACATCTTGCTATGAAATGCTCAAAGTCGAATCTATAATGTTACATTACACGCAAATGCTCGTTAGTCAGGGAGGTATTATTGTAATGTAATGCTCAAAGTCGAATCTATAATGTTACATTACACGCAAATACTCGTTAGTCAGGGAGGTATTATTGTAATGTAATGCTCAAAGTCGAATCTATAATGTTACATTACACGTGAATGCTCCTGGTGAGGGAGCACCTTAAAAGTACTTCAACATGACATGTTCAGAGATCCATCGCCGCGAAGACCCAAGAGGAGATATCTCCCTCTGTATCAATAAGTAGACTTACCATCAGGAGTAGGCAGTCCAAGGTTATTCAAGGCATTGCTGCTATCCTGCCTCTTTTGTTTTCTCTGCAATGAGTTGTTCTGAGACCCATTGCCAGTGTTGAACTGGACTGTTGATGGAGTATCCACACTGCGTGGTAGGCTACCGTTGACTGACCTGGTGTAACAGAACATGGAATAAATAAAACTAATTACCTATATGGGCCGGCTCGACCGGAGTGATGCTACGGCCTCACAGAAAACCGACGTGAAATACACTTGCGTTGTGTTTTGTCATGTGAGTGAGGGTAATTGGGCCTCTGGTAAGGAAGCCCAATTACCCTCTATCCAATCCCAAAATCTCCAATAATCCTCAAATTCTTAATCTCCAAAAGCCCGATAACCTAATTCTAACATTTCTGGTGTTTCAGGTGTCCATGGGCGGCGTTGATTACTTACAACCAGGTGATCCATCTGGTCGATGACCGGCTTATTCCATAAAAAAAGGCAAAATGGTGGCCTACCCATAAGAAAATACAACTTGCTTGCCATTTAAGAAAAACAATGGAAAGCTATTGCGTCTACTTTTCTTTTGTGAACTTCTTGTCAATCTACAGGTACTGTTACACATGCTAATTTCAAGCATAAAATGCTTGAATTGAGGACTTGTGACTTAGTAGCATGAGTGTCGGAATGTTACTCAAAATTAGCATACTCATTTCAGGCATGTTTGCGAATCGACAGGCGTTCGATTTTTGAATATTTTTGAGCCTATTCAGTAGAACGCCTTTTAGCATTCTATTTTAGAACATATGTAACAGTATATTTAAAGTTTAAATTGCATATTGAACTCTTTTTGAATAAAACAGAACATCAACTCTTGATATTAAATAAAAGCTTAATCTTAGTCTTAGCAAACAACAACTTACCTGTTAGGAGTCAACTTCTCACTGCTCATTGTAGGTGACTGAACCCTCAATGATCCAGGAGTATAGTCGTGACCATAATGCACGTATGTTTGGTAACCATTGTTGAAGCCGTTCACCTAAAATATTATTGAAATTAGTCGTAAAACTCCAGTCTCTATGATTACTGAGAAGTTTGTTATGGAATACGAAAACCAATATTTTGTTCTAAATGGTAATCGTTCTAGTCATCGACAGCCTATAAAAGCCCACTGCTGAGCAAAGCCTCTTCTCACATAGAGAAGGTTAGAGCATTAATCACCACGCTTGCTCAATGCGGGTTCGCGATTTCAATCGTTCTAGTAAGTACTACAAAATAATTATGACTAGCTTCTGCTAACGACTTCACCCGTGTTCCCGTAGTTTAGAGGTAGCCTACTCTGTTCCTTTCATCCGTAGTTTTGAAGTGAATGAGTAACAAAGACATAAACAAACATATAAACTATCCCATATACCATGAAATATTAGCAGAATTTTAGGCCACAAGATTTTTTGGCAAATGATAAGTAAAATATTTGTGCTGTCGATTCCCATACTTATATTCACATAAGATTAAGAAAGGCGTCCAAGCTTCCAAATTTAGCACTACAATAAGATAAAAAATCTAAAAAAAGATACGTACAAGTATACGTACTAACTAAAAACTAAGTGTGGGAGAACCATGCTTCGGCACGAATGGGCCGGCTCGACCGGAGTGATAACACGGCCTCACAGAAAACCGACGTGAAACAAAGCTTGCGTTGTGATTCGTCGTGTGAGTGAGGTTACCGGAGGCCCAATTACCCTCCCCTTCCCCAATTCCTGAATCCCCAACGATCCTCAAACTCCTAATCCCCAAAAGGCTGGTAACGCACTTGTAACGCCTCTAGTGTTCCAGGTGTCCATGGGCGACGCCGATTGCTTACCATCAGGTGATCCGTCTGCTCGTTTACCGGCTTATGCCATAAAAAAAACAAACAAATAAAAAGCACAAACACAAATTACCAATCGCTATATTACCATCAACCTTAGTCCCAAGTTTACACAAGATATGGACTAGAATATTGATAGACGTATTACAAATTCCATTACCTTATAACAATCAGCGTACGCGGGATCCGTGTAGTCGTTGCTGTATCTATATGGTTGGTATGTGTTCTGTTGGTTTATGGACGATAGAGGCACTGTTCCTGCGAGCGGAATACCGCTACCAAGTTTAGCGTTCGAACACAATGTGCTGTCTGATCCTGTGTTAGAGTAATCCTAGAAAAAAAATGTATTGATAGATTTATTGTGGAGAGGATTCTGATTTGTTTGATAATATTGCAGTCGTTAAAGATGGAGTTGATATGGAATTATGAATGTTGTAGAAGAAATTATAAATTAGCTTGAATAATGTTATGACAAAGTTAAGGTTATTTTTTTTAAATTGTGCCTGCGGCGCATCTCCTATTTTGGTAACAATACGGTAGTTGACAGGTAGTTAAATCAATAGTTTTATTGAAATGTCAAAAACAATACTTTTCTATGAATTTTGTATTGGTTCGCAACTTATGACGCCATCATATTTCTGCATCAAATAGCATACTTATTTCCTTAAAATTAGCGAGAAAAAACCCAAAAGTAGGTAAATTGTCAAAACAATAGATGAGAGTATGATTATCTTTTAATTATTTATTGCATTGAAAAGTTGAAACAATTTATTTTAAACATAGGAAACTAGTCATTGTCGCATCGTGTAATTGATATTAATCTAGAGTAGACAGTCGATTCTCGTCTGCTCGACGGACAGGTACTGTAGTACTGCAAGATCACGTCGGGGTCACCACTTTGGGGATTTGGGTGCTCTTCAATGAAATGCCGATTATACGATGTTATTTAATTTACACAATTCACATGTTTTCAGTATAATGATAACAGATCGACTGTCTACTCTTCTCCGCAGGCACAAAAATAACATAACATAACATCACGACTTTATATCCCCGAAGGGGTAGGCAAAGGTGCACACAGAAGTAACACCTACTTTTCAATATTTATGTTATGAGTCCTATGTAGTAGGTGGTGAGCCTATTGCCATATACCGGGCACAATTCCAGGCTCCGTGCTACTACTAGGATTTTTTAAAAACCTAGTAGTACTTTGCCCGACCAGGGAATCGCACCCGAGACCCCTTGCCCGGCAGTCGCACTTGCGACCACTCGGGCAACGAGGCAGTCACAAAAAGGCAGAGAACAAAAATAATGTCAGATTAAAGTCATTGCTTAACTGTATGTGTAGCCGAAAATTACTCTGATAAACTAAAATGATACTGAGAATGTTAACATTTTACTTCAATACAAACAAACACTGAGTTCACCAGTCAATCAAGCATCATTGACACAACAAGGTACTGTGTCAAAAAACTCCAAACCGAATAAAAAATAGGAAATGCTTCGAACTTTATTCCAACAAGATTTTTTTTGGTCAATAAGTCGTAACCAAATTCGGCTGAACGTCACTTTTGACATGGGGCGATAATCATTTACACAATACCAGAACCCGGTGGAGGTGATCCGTAACGATTGTTATATATACCTCTATAGGAGTTTATAAGCACTCAAGACTAAACCTTTTATAAAGAAGTAGTAAGAAATATACGTATTTTAAGTCAATAATAAATCTGGTATATTCATTTCTAGTAGATAACTTCTTTAGTTTTCGTTGTATAAAAATCCAATAAAAAAGTAGCACCAAAATAAAATACCTAATGATTCATTGATCATATTAATACTGACAAATAAATAATTAAGAAAAATTAAATGCCACTGTGGAATATACATCCACTATTTATTTATGAGTGCCATGTAATAGGGGTAAGCCTATTACCATATGCCGTGCACAATGTCAGACTCCGTACTATTACTCAGATTTTTTAAATGCCTTTACCCGACACGGGAATCGAACCCGAGACACCTTGCCCGGCAGTCACACTGGCGACCAATCAGTCAACGAGGTAGGTAAGAAAAAATACTTTTGCAATAATAGAACTTGAAAATTACAAGAGTGAATTTGAATTACAAAATAATTATAAAGATGCAAGAGATACCGCAAGCTTCAACTGGTTATTAATATCCCAAACTCATTATACCTACTAGATAATTTAACAGATTGATTCATCAGACACTTATAATGGAGGTGCACACAATAATTGACAACATATCATTATTTAACCATAGTTAAGTGTAGCAAAGCCGCATAGCAAAGAGGTCACATGTATCATCAAGAGCTAAATATTAATGATACTCTAATATCATGTAACCACACAGCAATCGATGGATCAACACAAATTATTTCATAATAGCCTTTGCTCACGGCTTCACTTGCGTGGTGGACAGATTAACAAAAACATGATATAAAAATTCTAAATTATGAACAATGACAATTGCGTTATACTTCATCCAAACTTCTACCTCCCATTTTAGGACATTGGGAGGGTTAAAAGTAGCCTATGTCACTCTCCATCTCTTCAACTATCTGTACTTAAAAATCACGACAAATCGTCGCTCCGTTTTGCCGTGCAAGACGAACAGATGAACACACTCTAACATTTATATTATTACTATGGATTATCTCCCTTCTCGTTGAGCAAAATGTTCTCAATTTCCAACCATTACAACTTCAGCCGGTGAGAAATTTGATCATTCATTGAAGCTATTAAATGTTATTACAATCGCTTAAGCTTCACTATCTGTATTGTTGTCTCTTTCTAGCGATATCAGTTTAGCTCCAAGATTATGTTCATCAATATTCAAAGGTGTACACTTAATGTTATGACTTTGTTCAGCAATGAGATTGGTAAATATCTTTAGAGTAAAATCGTTGTTCTCGAAGCAAATTGTTTTAATTGATTATTCTGATGTTCAGCGATATTTGGTTAAGATTTCTAAGTCAAATCTACTTGGAGTTTATTTTAGATTGATTTTTTGGTTCTACCTTTAGTCATCTAGTAAGAAAATGGCATCCCCGATTAATACCACAGTCGTAATAGTTAATTCTTTTTACAATTCAACATTACTTAAAAAGAGACTCAAAACTAAACGTTACACTGCAGTGTTACGTCATACTGATTTCAAGCACGAAAGCATGCTTCAATTGAGCACTTGTCATTTAGTAGCATGTGTGTTGGAATGTTGCTCGAAATTGGCATGCTCGTTTCGGGCATGCTTGCGAATCAACAGGCATTCGATTTTTGAACATTTTTGAGTATGATCTATAGAATGCCTTTTAGCATGTTATTTTATTAAAACATGTGTAACAGACACATGCTTTAATAAAAGGCCTTACCTTAACAACCGACTTATTACTAGCCACATCTTATTCCACCCTAACAGAAACATCTCTTTTAATAAAGCACTATGCTGAATAATTGTCAACAAAATTCATACTTACTATTTCACAGCTGCCATTAGCCTGTCTCAGTTCTAGTTTCAAATCACTTATATTAGAATTCCTGTCGTTTTCCTTGTACAGTTCTTCAGCTGTTACTGTGACGTCAGGTTTTTCAGTCACCTGTGTCTGTTTGTTCTTTCTCTGCTTTCTTTGACATAGTATTACTAGCATTATCACTGCTGCTACCATTATTGTGCCTGATGTCACTCCAAATAGGATTAAGAGGAGTGGGAATGTTTCTAGAACAAAAAGATTGTTTTAAAGTTGTTTAATATAAAAATCTGAATTCATAGGTGTCGTTGTCAGGTCAGACTGAAATGTAAAAAGTTTTGAAGATGCATAAGATAAAAAAAAAACTAATGTTCAGCCATCAACACGACTCATAGACTCGAATTGTGATCTGACCTTATATTTTGAGAGAGGAAAAACAAGAACTCTTATAACATTATTATTTTTCTTAATGATTGCTTTCTCTTATAACATTAAACTCTTATAACATTATTATTTTTCTTAATTATTGCTTTATAAAAAAATGTCCTTGATTGTTTAATTTTATTTTATATTGCTCACTCTCCTACTTTTACCTAACGCATGCTGAAAAACTCTGTTATTGGCTTAAGTTTCCATGCCTTGTCATTATTATAGATGTAGCATTTACTTAATAAGCTGTTGAGTTTTCTGTAATAAAAATAAATAAAAGAAGTAATGTTTTTAAACAGCATTAACTACCAAATAAGGACTATTTTCAAAATTTTCCTCCATAAAAGTAATATAAAAGCCTGCTCCCGTCATTAATTTTAAATGATAAGACATAACCGACCGAACAGTAGATTGGATCTTTGAAAAACATATCAAAATATCAGTCTACTATGACGTTATTTTCTTTGCCAAGCCCTAAACAAAATTTTAGTTCCAGGCCGTCGATCAACGACGACCTAAAACCAACCCTGCGTGAAGATTTTTTTAGACAACATCTCAAGGATTTTGCGAAGAGATTGGAGATTGATGGGGAATTGTTATGTGAGGGTTATAAAGTCAAAATGGCGATACATTCACGATGATGCGAGGCCGTTGAAAATGTAATGGCGGCTCTGTCATATGGGAGAATTATAGTGATGTTCTTTGAAACTATGATTTTGAATTAACAAAAATATATATTAGTTGAACGTTTTGGGCGAGTAAATTACTATGTGTTTACTTAATTTGAATTGAGTATAGAAAAAAGTCGGTATACTTAATTCTATAATGTCTGAGTTTTTAATGTATATTGTTCTTTTACTTCTCAAACTGTATTGTCAATGGTATTTTGAATTCTAAATACAAGCAAATGACTATAACATTCGACACAAATAACATCTATTGATAGATTCAAAAAGTATTAATTTTCACAAAGCTAGATAAGAACCAGAGTTTTTCAGTTAATCAGTCGTGTTTATATCACTATATAGTATAAAACAAAGTCGCTATCCGTTGTCTGTCTGTCCCTATATATGCTTAGATCTTTAAAACTACGCAACGGATTTTGTTACGATTTTTTTTTGTGGATAGAGTGATTCTTAAGGATAGTTTATATGTATATTACAGGCATATTACACCCGTGCGAAGCCGGGGCGGGTCGCTAGTACAAAATAAACTAAGCAAACACTAACACCGCATATTTAATCAAGCCTCACCAAAAAATATAATCTTCAACAAATAACTATATAAAGTAATTTCTTTCAGCATAATATTACAAGGTCTTTAAAGGTCCATCAAACAGAAGATTATCTTCGCTTTCAATTTCTTCGGAAGGAAACCTCGTAAACGCGCAAGTCGTAAAGAATCTAACATAAAATAGTTAATAAAAAACAATGCTTCTAATGACGGAACCCATCATGTTTTAAGACCAAATAGAAACAAGATTTTCTTACTCTCTAATATTACTTTTTTTATGGTGAAGTTTTTTTTTCGAAAAATATCTTTGATTAAGACAGAAACACCAATTGAAAAATCTTTATAACCCGAAGGGTTTGGAAGTATGCACGTTTCGGAACTTAATGCCACTGTACAATGTAACACTTACTTTTCACTATTTATGTTATTAGTCCCATGTTATAGGGGTGAGCCTATTGCCATATACCGGGCACAATCCAGACTCCGTGTTACTACTGAATAAAAATACCAGCAATTCTTTGCCCGACCCGGGAATCTAACCCAAAACCCCTTGCCCAGCAGTCACACTTGCGACCATTCAGCCAACGAGGCATTCCAAACCAAAGGAAAAACATCAAGCAATAATTGAAAATATCATCATCGGTATACGAATTTAATACTATTAGCTTCGTAGTATCACTAAAGTAAAAATACAGTAACTACGAAGACAATTAAATTACGAAATGAATAACTAAGTTAGTTTTGAGATGTCAAACGGTATGATAAAAAATAAAACAAAAGAAAAAGTATAATTATTTATGATAAAAGCGGCTAGCTACACAGACAGACAGACGGGCAATTCAAATTTTTGACGTTTCAAAAGTTCCTAATTAAGGATTAATTGAAATAAATGCTTTGACTTTGACTTTGACTCTGGAAAGTAACGTTAAAGCAGTAACTTAAGAAATACTTACTGTTAGGTCTCAATATAATTTCCATGGTGTCACTCCCGTAGTCATTAGAGACATTACATTTGTAGACACCAAAATGTTTGGACTGACTATCTCTTATGATCAGCGTCGAGTTCACTACACCACCTGATTGTAATTCTTCTAAAAATGCGTAGTCCTGTGCCAAAGAAAATGAGAATGTATTATTAATTAACACACAAGATATAACATAATATAACATCATGGCTTTTATCCTCGAAGGCAGAGGAGCACAGTACTTAATGCCATTATACAATTTAACACCGACTTTTCACTATTTATGTTATGTGTTCCATGTAATAGGGGGTGAGTATAATGCCATATACCAGGGACAATGCCGGACTCCGTGCTACCGCTGAGATTTTTTTTAAAACCCAGTAGTGCTTTGCCCGATCCTGGTATCGAACCCAAGACCCCTTGCCCGGTAGTTGCACTTGCGATTACTTGGCCAACGAGGCAGTAACACAAAAGTTCTTATTTTAAAACAGTAGAAGAATGATGTGAAACAAATATTATTTGCAAAGATGTAGATTATTATTCACAATTAGATACATATTTAATATGGTATTTCACAATAACTAGCGTTAGTTATAACACAAATATTTGAATAGCCGTTACTGAGAACCTATTTTTATATTATCGATAAATTAAAACACAGATTAAGCTGTAAACAAAACAAGTTACTTTAGAAAAATAAGTAAATTAAGATTTCATTTTCGTTCTTTACGTTTATGAACAATTTTAGACCTAATAGCTACAGATCTTAAGGTCCCAGCAGCTGTAGCCAAATGCCATTTAGCGCGTGTCTACATGTAGAATAGAAAACAAAATTATACGGAATTGACGTTGTTTTAGTCATTGTTAGTGTCATTCCTAAGAGGGGTCAAAAGTGGCACGAAGTGGTTCGTGTAAAGATACACTGTGGCGCGCGCTGTTTGCTGAACTTGGCTGACGCGCGGCCGCGCGTCTCGATACGTTTAGTTTTCTACTCTCTCTGTAGACAAGCGCTAAAGTGGCGTTTGGCTAAAGGCACAGGTGAGTTATACCGAACACTAAAACCTATAAAATTGATACAAATTCTGTGCCAATTACTTCAATGTCGACCTTCAAAATAATGACAGTACTAAATAACATAGCTTCATAAACTGTAATTGGGGTATAGCATTATAATATAATAAGTTTTATTCGCCAGTGACGAGACACCATTCATCATTATAATAAAAATCAATTCTGTAGAATGATATGAAATTTTGATATCAATAATTATAATGTTTATTGCGACGTGATATACCTCTAATATTTAATGACTGATGAATTTTTGATTGAAGGGGTATTTATTGATACCTATGTAGTTATCGTGTTTGACAGTTTTTAAATGGGAACTGCCAATACGATTTTTACTCCCAAAAAGTCGTGCCTTCGTTAAGAACATTCTAAATAGCTAAGAGGACACCGTGTCCTCTTCCACCCACCCCTAATAAAGATCTTATTCGTATTGTTTAAAGACTACTGTTGTATGAACGAGTTTGGTAATAGAATGCGAAAAGGTTCTCAATTATTTTCTGAATTAGTTTTGGGATGATGACAGGGTATGAAAATTAAAAATCTTATTAGTCCGTAAGTTACGTAATGAAAAATATAAGACACGTATTTTTTTATTTTGTCGTATTATAAAACAATACTTAGATAAAACGAATCAAAGTTTAGGAGTGGGGGCTAAAACGTCATTTCTACGTATAAAATGTACATAGAAGTGACGTCACGCGACATTTCAAATCAATATATCGTCGAAAGTATTCGTTTCTGTAAGAAATTAAAAAATACGTGTCTAATGATTTTAAATAATGTACCAGACGGACATTAAAATAAGAATTAGGCATCTACCCTATTACACATAATAATTATATCATTAAATAACTCCAAATTGTTTTACAGTATGTATAAATAATAAGTTTACCTGATCATGTATAGAATCGATTTCTTTTCCATCAAACGTCCAGATTATGTTGTCTATCCTGGGCACCGCGAACGCTGCACATTCAATGTTCACCGTGTCGCCTTGTGAACCAAACTGAGTCTGATTTGATATTATCTTCGGAGGACCTGTAAAGAAGGTTTTAATTAGCCAAAACGACATAAACAGTTTAAATGTGGAAGAGCCTTGCTTCGGCACGAACGGAGTCATACCACGGCCTCACAGAAAATCGTCTGCGTTGTGTTTCGTCGTGTGAGTGAGGTTACCGGAGGCCCAATTATCCCATTAACCATTCCCTGAATCCCAAACAATCCTCAAATTCCTAATCCCAAAAGGCCGGTAACGCACTTGTAACGCGTCTGGTGGTCCGGAGGTGGCGCCGACTGCTTACCATCAGGTGATCCATCTGCTCGTTTACCGGCTTATTCCATAAAAAGGGGTACAAGACATTAGGTTTTTGGTACGATATCTTGTTTTGCATCATATCAACAGCCTATAAATGCCCACTGCTGAGCAAAGCCTCTTCTCACACGGAGAAGGTTTGAGCAGTAATCACCCCGCTCACTCAATACGGGTTGGCGATTTTAAATTTTTAAAATATAATGTATGTAAGGAAAAATAGGCAATTGTTTGAGAAAAGAAGCGATAGACACAATTTTAATACTAGAGGCAAAAATAAGTTAGCTATACCGCAATTCAGACTGTCCAAAGTACAGAAGTCCTTTATGGGGTTAGGTATTAAATGCTATAATAAAGTACCAAATAGCATACTAGATCTCAATGAAAGTAAATTTAAAACATATATTAAGCGCGAATTATGTAATCAAGCTTACTACACACTGACAGATTATCTTGAAGATAAGAATGCTTGGCAGCATGTTGGTTCGGCTCCACTGGACAATACTCAAATGTAGTCAGTAGTTAAATTCCAATAGTAGGTAATATAATACATAATTTAATACTTTAATCCACGGAATATAGAATACAATGGAAGTAGCAAGTAGGCGTAGCACGCGTGCCACAACTAAGCTGTGCACTGCTTACTCGAGGCAAATTCGAGTTCAGTCTCGTTCGAACATGGCGTCGAGTTGCTAGTCTCGTGTCAAATACATATTTCCTCAACTATGCCGTTTTGTTCCGTTTTGGCGTGTAAAAATAATAGCAGCCGAAAAATCGTAAAAATGGAGGTGTTCCGTATCATCG